TAAACATTCTGTATATACAAGTACTGATACTTTTGTTTCTTTTATCTAAGCCTGATACCATGTTCATATTTCTCCCAAATATTGGGACCACGGCTAACGCTCACAGAATCGGACATTTGAGCTGAGTATTCGCGATCTGCTTGAATGCCTTCATTTGCCAATCGTCCTACAGTCGATAGCGATATTCTTAAGGCGGCCGAAACACGCTAAAATTAATTGATCATCAATGAATTTTTACTAAACTTTAAGATGTGAAACTTACTTCATGTAAAGCATTTACGGGCAATAGAGTTATACCGCCGGCTTGTTTTTCTAATTGGAAATAAGCAAGCAGTTTTAATACAAACGCTTGCTCTATTTTTTTTCGCTATGCCTCGGCATGTTTATAATTATCAAAATAAGTAAATAAATAAATAAATAAAAAATTATATTCCAACTTCTAAAAATGTGATTAACCACAATAATTACAAATGGAACTAATGGAAGTACAGGTCTGATAAAAACTCTCAGACGTACACTTTGACGTTTATCAAAAATAGCTAAAGAGCGTGTTCAAGATTTCAATTTGACTATAAGACCATGACGTATAGCGAACGGCAGCCAACGAAATGCTTGTATTGTGTCAATTGTAGTTATTTAATATCTACGTGTAGATCTCTCATGATTTTGTTGCGTCACGAAAATTTATAGTGGACGTACCTTTTTTTGTATTTCTTTCAACTTAATGCGATAAAGCGAGATAGATGCCGTATGACGTGCAACTGAAGGGCTATGAAATGAACTTTATTTAAAACCCAACAGTGATGGTAGTAGTGAAAATCCTACCTATGCAACAGAATTATTTTTAAATAAATAAGTAATATAAAAAATGTTCTGCTATCAGTGGTATTCGAACCGAAAACACTTGGAGTCCCAAACTCAGACTCTAACCATTGAACCACTCATTCCCCATTTGTTTTAACTATTAAAATATTATCATAGGCTCATCAACTAATCAACACCAAAATTGTTCTTAAATTTGAGTCAGAAGTAACAAAATTAAATTGATTTAATTTAAATTGTACAAATTAATAATTTTGTATAAATATAACCAACATCAATCGTTCAGTCTGATTCCACTAATAACACTAGTAACTAGCTTATCACCTTTCCGCATCTTCCTAAAAAAACATAAATTATTATCTCTAAAATTATGTTGTTAAAATCTATAATGACCCGAAGCAACGCCCTTCTAACAGCCGAGCATCCTTTCCCAGAAATAAATCATCCGTTTTTTCAACACTCACCCCAAAATTATCTAAAAAGCTGCCCAAATACGTGGGACTATTAGCGAATACACTGATATCGATTCCGTCAGGATAACTTCACGAACTTTAAAAACACTTCCATAATGACTTCGACATTTGTTTGACATAGTTTCGCATTCGATGAAAGTTAATAGGACTAATGACTGTCAAATTCTTTACGATGACTTGCCGATCTTTTTATATTTGTAGAGTATAGGAAAAGAAGTTAAGTTGGATAGGAAAAAATGACATTTTAATGGGCATTTTCGAACTAAAAGTCGAAATTTGAAAGCGTTGAGCAGGTAAACTGATCTGTACAGATAAGGAATTAATGCTGTATAATCTGACACCTTTGAGGATGAGGATTTGTAAATAATTAATGCTTTTATTACCGCAATTAACACCATTAAATATGCTTTCTGATGGAATGTTTAATAAGTACTATTATCAGTAGGTTGATTTTGTATATAGAGATTTACATTATGCAAAGAAATGAAAATATATTCAATTATTAATGAAGTAAAAGAAAGAATAAAAAAATTGGATTGGTGGTTTCATTTCAAGTGTGTTGTTAGAGTTTCTAAATTATTTTTTTCTTGTTATTATATCGGTTTTTAATATCTAATTTAATGTCAGTGAACACAGTATTGATATTCATCAATATGAAAATTGTTCCTCACTTTATATGCAACTCAAAGCAACGTTAACACCATTATAAAGTATCTTTAATAATACTCATTCATCCATTCTCGATTGTTCATTATATCGACATTGAAACAGGATTATTGATAAAATGTCGAACAATCTAATTTTCATCAATGCGTATATGCACCACAATACACAAACAAAGATAATTGCTATAACAGGCTTACTTTATGACAATACCATCATCGAGAAGAATTAGTATCATTGTAGTTAATTGCTCAGAATTGGGTATAAACAAATTCTGGCAATGGCTAAAATTTTAACACAATAGTATACTAGGTGTCCGCGTGAAAACTTTGGATGGGGCAAAATTTAACTTAAAATCCTGCTGAATTTTTGGAACATGAGAGAGCATAGGTAGATGTAAGTTCACATACTTTTGGAGCTTGAGCTTTCCTGGGAATAAAAATATTTTATCAAAATTGTAATTTAAAATATAGTAATTCCATGGTATACGAATATAGATGAAGCGGTGCGCAGGTTTTATGACGTCAACATTGATATTATCACGGCCGCCTGTAGACTACCATGCAGTGTTGCCAGGTATATCTTTTTATGGTATTTATACTATATTTTCTACTACGATACCTGCAAGTTTTTGAAGATTCCATTTTCCATTTTTTTACCATTTTTAGCTACTAATACCATTTTACTACCATATTACTACCAGTTGGTATGCATTTATCTTGAGGATTAACAAGATAGTGTTCATCTGAACCTGAATTCTTCCACCACAAAACATGAAGAGGATGTTATACGTCTAGGATAGTTCTTGTAGCCAAACACTGCACAACCTAGCGTTTTGCTAGTAACTTCACTCCCTAAAATAGTAGATTTAAATGTACCAATAATAAATATATTAATAAAATAATTAGAAACTATTTTTTTTATCTTTAAAATACAGCAAAAATGTGACATAACCTAACTTTATATCAATTACACTATCAATTTAATTAGAAAGTAATTAAATAATACGTACCAATAATTACTAAAAAGACCTCTTCCTGTATAGAAATAATAATAAATTTTAAGATAAATATATCTATAAAGTTCAAAGCACTATCAGGAAGATATTAAAATAACTTAAAAAGTCGCTTTTTAACATTCAAGTAATAGGCATAATAAAAATGTGTTTCGAAAGTGACGTCATGCGCAAGACTGACCAAATTTCTTACCGCTAACCGCTTCACCTGTATTTTTCCACCATTAGTAATGCGAGCTATTTTCAATCAGCCGGCTTATGTTCTAATCCCTCAAGTCCCTCTCTGCCTTGTTTGGGCCTTTTACTTGCCCGAAGGTGCCATATTGTAATATTTTAGGCTCAATGAATTTAATGGAAGGTTTTTATATAAATGAGCTATGTTGCTGTGGCAGAGTCAGTTGAAGTTGACACATAGCTATGAGCAGATCGATATAGTTAATATCCGAATAAATTACTATTTAAGTAAACGTGTTATAAATTAATGAATATAGTTGTAAATAAATTAAATACATAAAAGTTACAATATTTAAAAAAGTAACTTATGCAACCTGTAACATTTTATTATTAATAAACCCAAAAAAGTGTGCTCCCTCTTATCATTATTTATAATATATACATGGGGTCGTTGAAAATTTTGACATGGATAACTTAGAGCAAACTGGGGAGGGGCAGTGAGGTAAAAAATATGTGAAATTATGTCATCCTAGTACTGTCTCGAACCCCAAAAATTCTATGTTATACTCCTCACAGTTTAACAGACCCTCTTAATCCCCATTTTCATAAAAATTCTTTTTAGAATCAATAAGCTTTATCCCCTTATGAAGTTTTCATTTTTCCTGTAGATTTTAATTTTATATCGTTTTTCGTTTCTTAATTTAGTTTTATTCAATATTTCAACCCCTCTATATTTTTATTCAGATTTTTTTCAGAATCAATAGGCCTTATTCCCTTATAGAGCTTGATTTCTACAAAAATTTCATGTTACTATCGTTTTTGTATTTAAATCAATAAGCTTTGTCCTCTTATAGAGCTTGATTTTTGTCAAAAATTCACAAGTTGATATTTTTCGTTTTTAATTTAAGACAGACGGGCGATCGAACGGTCGAACTAACATTTTTAAAAGTTGTTTAAAATTTGATGATATGTATTTTGGTACAAACATTTTTAAATTTGGACCAATATTAAAAAATTAACTTATGTATGTATGTTATTGTTCTTACATTATACTTTTACAGGAGTACAAAAAGACACTGAAAACATCTTAAATTCAAAAGCAAAATTCCTTTGTTGCTATATTTAGAAAAATTAAGCTACGCTAAATATTTAAGCTGCTTTTAGCGTCTGAAGGCGACCCTTTTTTGATTCAGAACTTTCTTTAAATAATAAAGCAAATCTTTAAACTTTAATAGTTCCCTGGCCCCGACGTTAACAATACAGTTTGTGTACCATAATGGACATAAATTGCGGCAATTTATTCTGAACGTTTACAACAATTCTCGTTCCTCCAATACCGCTTTTGATACACTTTTATCTGGGTCAGAGGTCAAATTGGATTAAGGTCTGTTGGAAGTTTTTAAAGTACCCTTTTGTGAGGGCCCCTTCGCTTGCTTAGGGTTAAATTGTCACACTCAGCGTAAATAATTACTGGGATGATACCATTGTCAACTTTCGTGAATATTTTACTTGGCTAAACCTGCAATTATGCTGGTTGTTTGAAACTGTTTGGAAATATTTCAAGTGCTACCTTCAAATAAGAGTTAATTCTACTTTATGATGATATAAGTAGGAAAGTAAATACGGAAATAATGAGTCGAGCCATGATGATTATTAGTTTACATGTAATTACTCGGAAAAGTTTGACTTACTTTAATATTTCGAAGAAACTGATTGGCCTGTTGGTATAACGATTGTTTCGAACAAAAATAATGTTTCTGGGAAGCACTTATCTAGTTTTAGATAATAATTTATTTTTAAGTCAATATTCGTTATTCAAACAAACACTCCTAATATCTTTTTTTTTGTTACAGAATGATACTATGCGAATAATTTGGGCCTTCCACAAGGACGAACCTCTTGGTGGAGCTGTTGGTCCCAATTCCCTACCGCAACATGAAATGGGAAATAGGGGAAGTCAGTCATTGTACTTAGTACAAAGGGCTGATCAGGACACACCTGGTCCTGAAGAGACGGCTAGAGTTTGGGAACTAAGGAATCCAGCCATTGAACCACCTGCTCCTGGCGAATCTGTATATTGGTGCAAGATATTCAGGATTCCATCTATCACCAGAAAACATCATTTAATAAGGGTAAGTGTGCTTTTTAAATAATTTAAAAAATGAACAACAAAAGTAAGGAAGATGTATAGATGAATCCTAAATACACTATTGGATGTCGAATTGTGGTAGTTTTGCTTCTTTTGTCCACTTACTTTATTCTTTTATATCTGCAGCTGAATCTTTTTTCTCTCTTTCCACTACTGCCTACTATTTCTGGATTAAACTGTATACGTTTTGTTCCATAGTCTCAATCATTTATTAGTGATCTATATTTTTTTGTTAAAATTATGACATTATATAAATTGCTTATAATTTTTACTATAAACCCTGCTATATATGTAACAATTTCTTTACAATATGATGATGGATTCCAAGCAGGTGAAGTTGCATAGTCCAATTTAAACAACTATTATTATGAACTTCAATACTCACTAGACTCGCCATTGTGGTTTTTATTGCACTTAAACAAGTACAGTAACATTTGATTTCTAGTTAAATTAATTAACTTCTTCTGTAGAAACTTTCAAACTGCTAAGCTAAACTGTTAACAAGAAAATCTTCAAAAAATAGTCTTTAAAATAAATGTGTACTTTGTGAGGCGTAAATTAAAAAAACACTCTCCGTATTTAGATTAATAATTGGCGGATTTGTTTGTCCAAAGATAAAAGAATAAGTTAAAAAGATAAAAAATATAGATAACCATCCAGATTTTTGCCTTTGGGGTGGAATAATAACGGGGCCAGAAACGAATCGAAAGAAAACACAATTATGACATAATTTAAAATTTAAATAACAAAGCCTCCTAAAATGTCGCGCCAGCTCGGGAGAGCCCCCCCATTTACGGATTCGTGAATCGCGTTCAAAACTAAGCAATTTACATGTCATATCTTCGGAGATTCAACCTAGAGATACGTGGAAATGTTCGAGAATGCTCCAGGGAATATAAATCCGATAGAAAGTTACATTAGGTGGTAGTCTTCTATTCATCCTGCTTGTACGCATTCAGGAAAGGAAATTGAAATTAGTTTGGCACTGCAGAGAAATGCACGGAGCCACCTCGGTTGTTAGCGTTAAGAAAAAAGTTTAAAGGCGAAATTGAAAAAGTTTGAGAAATATTAGAAAGAGCCAATTTCTCGTGGCGATTTCGCCATGATAGAAAGATATTAGAGGTTTTAACTCATTTGAAAGACCAACGATTATTAAAATTGTCCCAAATGGCGATTACTTAATGTTTCACTCTTGTGCAAAAATATAGGTCTTGAAATGGCAAAAATACGTGCTTTACACGCATCCCTATTTGTTTATAAAATATAAGTTTTAGAAATCTTTCTTTTCTATTTTTGTAATGAAATTTTCCTTGTGATTGGCTGGTTATCTAATAGCTTCTTTTCTCTCCCTGTCAGGCTATGTGGATCATGCCGACAGAATAGCTGCACTCGGACATTTACTATAGAGTGGAAGAAGTAGACCAAGTGGCAACTTTTGGTCAAATAAAATCCCGCAACATCGCAACAACCTGTCGTATGAGGCGACAAAAAAAAAAGGGGGGGTTTGAGACACCTATTAACGTTGTTAATAGGACTTTGTTGATAATATGAAAGGCAGTCCCTATACACTTATCGGCAACGTTTTCAACCAACACTGTTTTTGACGAGCTGGAAGGGAGCTTCTGTTTACCTCTGGGAGCATGCACAATGGACCTAGTGAGGCAGGCCTAACCGATTTAAAGGCAACTCAGCCCCTCCACCGACAGATAATTTATTGCCTGTCAGATAATTTGGTCTTTACCATTCTCTTTAAGTGGAGAAAGTAGAAAGAAGTCTTTTAAATGGTTGAGAATGGTTTGGATATAATAAAAATGTGTGTTTAAATCAAAATTTATTTCATTTTGACTTACTAGTGATGATCAACCAAATTAACAAATTTGAATGCTTCACAATCGTAACTGCAATATTTTACCAATACCTGAGATGCAACGAACAAGGAACTTTTTTTAACAAGAGATAAGAATACTTATATTTTTATATGTTTGAACAAATTTAAGATATTCTCAAAAAAATCTATTACTGCTGATTTACAATGCCTTGGCTGAATACAATACAATATGGGATGAGTTTCTGGATAACACTCTCTTTGGGCTGGATTAAACAAATAATATGTTGTTTAAAAATATCGTTTAGAAAAGACCTTAAATACTTACATAAAGAATAAGATATTCTCAATATTAAGTAACTTCATATTATTATATCGATCACAAGTGAGACCCCAGTTACGATTTGAGTGGGGGACCGAATTCGTACAGCTCGGAGCCCACTTAGACTGTATACTGAATGAAAAAATGTATGATATGGATACATTGGAAGGAGTAGGGCATTCAAATGGTGACACAATAAGCCAGCTGCGCTTTTGTGCCGCCATGCAAACCCAAAGAGGAGGAAAAGGAGGCTTGGGGCCTGATTAAGGGAAGCCCCGAACCCAAGCCTAATTGGGAGGAGGGATCTGCCTGAACCCCTCAGGGGAGCAGAGGAATTCCTGAAAAGGTGAAAAAAATACATATATACCTTCCAAACTGCTTTATAGGCAATTGCAGACTCTTAAAATCTTTCAAAGCTTTCACATATTGTTTTCACAAAAGCTCTAGTAAACAGGTTTACGCCAGTTCCACCTAAAAAAATACCCACGCGAAACTTTATCTCATATTTGGGCCCTAAAATGTACATAGTAAAAAAAAATTACAAATAAACAATTTTTAATTTCCTGTCTGTATACAGATAAGGAAAATATAGGAATCATGATTTTTTTTCGATCTCGAGTTTTAGATGGGAATTTTTACGTTTTGAAGAGCCCTGAATCCGTTTTGACTATTTTTGCGATGATGTCTGTGTGTATGTATGTGTCTGTATACTTGATAACTCATTAACGGATACAGAGAAAAACACAATATTTTAAACTTAAGTTTTATTCTGGCCTGTGGTGAGCTGAATTAATTTTGGTCATAGTCGGAACATCTGGGGGGTACTTTATAGAGGTGGTTTTTCTATTTTATGAAATATATATTATTTATGATTGGAGAAGAAAATTTTTCAAATAAAAGTTGTTTGTAATATTATTCTCTATAATTTTTGTTGGACATAAAATTATATTTTAGAAAATGTACAAATTTCCAATTTTGAAGATAACTCAAAAACGGAATAAAAGAAACACGCTAAATTCTAAATTTGAGCTTCTATCCATCTTACGTTAAAATGATTCATTTTAGGCATAGTCGGTACATCTGGGGGGTACTTTATAAAAGGTCGTTTTTTTACTTTATGGAATATATGTTATTTACACTTGGAGAAGAAAATTCTTTAAATGAAAGTTGCTTGCAATGAAATTTTCTAGAATTTTTTTTCTATACATAATTTTCCTAAAATGGTCCGTATTGGAGAAAGTTGACAAAATGTGAAAAATTCTAATTTTTTCTGTTCAATTTTTTAACATTATTAATATAAAAGATTCCGCACAGAAACTTTATTTAGGCGACTTTAAAATTTAAGAAGATTTTAAAATAATGTAAACTGTATGAATATATTTGATTTTATTTTTTCTTCAAAATCATACCTAATGTTTGTATGAAATATCCAAAAGTCAATTGCATAGGTTATCGCTAAAACTACAACGTTTTGTTTTTTCTGACTTGTTTATTCAATTTCAACGTTGCAACATTCTCTTCTTCGATACGCTAATGCTGACCATTTTCAAAAACATCAAAAGGTCTTCTTACATCACTTGAATGTATTTCATTGACCTTTCTTTATTCGCCCAGAGATCCGTAATTATCCTATCAACGGTAACTTAATAGGTGGCAAGCATATTATCGATAATTTTTTTGAAATATAACCCAATTGGTCTCACTATCATTATCATAATTGTTCAATGTATTAATTACTTTCTTTTTTATTTCAGTACGAACCACTCCAAGGCATTAACGGCGCCAGCGGGCTTCAACACGTCGTACTATACGAATGTCAAGACAATAACAACATAGAAAAATTAGCCGACACACCAGGTAGACAGTGTTACGACACTCACTCACAACCGTTCTCTTGTAATACAGTAGTAGCCAGCTGGGCACGCGGTTCAGAAGGGTTTAGCTTTCCTCCAGAAGCTGGTTATCCATTAGACTCCCAGAACTCAAGATTTTACCTTTTGGAGACGCACTACCAAACACCTTTAGATGCAAGCGTTGGCGGTTTGGATGGATCTGGACTAAGGCTATATTATACCCCTGAATTAAGACGACACGATGCAGGAGTACTATCAATTGGAATGGATCCAAATTGGAGGCACATCATACCGCCAGGTCAGAACAAAGTTGTTTCTTCTGGACACTGCGTTTCATCTTGCACCAAACAGGCCTTCCCTCATGGCGGTATCAATATGTTCGCAGTGGTAATGAAGACTCATAAAATCGGTAAACAAGTGTCGCTGAAACATATTCGTGGCAACGCAGAGCAACCTCCAATAGCTAGTGACGACAATTTAGACTCTGACTACCAGGAGTACCGAAAATTGAACGTTCCTGTGCGAATTCTACCGGGCGATCATTTAATAACGCAGTGTACTTATAACAGTTCCGGTAGAACTGCTATTACTCTCGGTGGATTGAACAGTCGTGAAGAAACGTGTCTGGTTATGGGGCTGTACTATCCGAAGCAAAAATCGTTGGCTGCGTGTCATAGTTTGCCCAGCTTACCCACGGTTCTGCACTCTTTGGGAATCCAAGAACTTAGCCCGTAAGTACAAATTTATAGTAGGATTTAAATGTTAGACAGTTTATAGGTATTGTTTATGGAATAATTCTTGTATTTGGTCAAATCATGATTATGTTAGTGGATCAGTGATAGTATGACCTGCATTTTCCTGGAAATGGAACCAGTTGAACAATGATCGAACAGAAATGAAGGCATAATGTCTACTGCAATCCTTCAACATAAGATATTAACGTTACTAGTGAACTTCAAAGTAAAATTGCGCATTGCTGAATTTTGGTCTTTTAAAAGCCTATAATGAAATTATATTTTTGTGGCTAGTTTTGCTTATTCGGGAGTAGAGATTTACTTTTTTCAACAAAACTCGGATCATAGCTTAAACGCTGTTTTCTTGAGCCAATGAAAATATTGCTGGACTTCTGCGAAACGGTTGATATTTTTACAACTGTTTTTTGAAACGCAGGTAGATGCAAGAGTATTGCTCTTGCAGGCATTTTTTATTCAGTAGTTTTACCACATTCGGCCAATACCCAAATTGAAAAAAATTTTGGATTTTGGAAAAAAAAATTCAAAACAGTCTAATATTTATGGTGAATATGATAAAATTACTGAAAAAAAATTGCCCATTATGGCAAGAAGAATATTATAAGAGCAATTATAGTATATTACATTACGAGTGTGGAAAATCACTTTTCACACAAGTGATGTACAATATTTTTCCTACGACCACAAAATAATTTCATCAAAAAATGTAAAACCAGATTATTATAATAATTAAAATGTATTTAAAAAAATAATCAACAATAATCGTATTTATTAAATTTTCATAATTTCTAAACAAATAAAAAAAAATAAAAAAAAAAATAAAAAAAAAAATCTGGCACAGCCAGGATTCGATCGCGGTCGTTGGACGGTCTCAAATTGCAAAGTTGATGCTCTAACCAACTGAGCTAACAGGCCTTACGGTAATTGATTGATCTAATCGCTTATGTGTTTAACCAGAATAAAAAGCAAATATATCTTAGTTATTTTAAAATTATTTTAAAAATAATTGTTAAAGATAAATATCTAGGATCTAATTTACAATAATTTAACAATCATATCGATTTTAGTATTAATATGGACATTACATAGATCAAAATAGAAATTATGTGTTTGACATTTTCTGACAGCTACTGCGGAAAGTAGCATATTCTCACTTGGGTGGAAAGTAAATTCTTATTCATACGCGTGTGATATAGGGCACTTTCCATAGGTCTATATAGTGTGATATGTGTCACTTTCCTAAGTGGTCGTAGGAAAAACATATTTTCAACCTTTGGTTTAAATTTTTCAAGAAACAGGCTATCTATATCTGTAACGTGTGTATGGTGGGTTACCCCACGGCACTTAAATTTCAGTAGGCTCATTGTGCATCCTCTTAAGGTAATAGGCACCTCCTAGCTAGTTCGTCAGCCTACAGATTTATTGTAGTTGACAACGTCGCCAAGAGGCGCTTCTCTTATATTGGTCGGTGTTAGCCAATATTTGCCGAAGAGAAATCTTCAAATAAATAAGGCTGTCGGGCAATCGTAGAGGATATGTTCAATGGTCTTATCTTTTTGTTTGCACCCCTGCAGAGTACGGATTCTGACGACCTCATGATATGGAGAAGCTTCCGTACTTGGCAATGAACAGTCAGAATGCCTGTGACTAAGCGCAGATTCTGTCTAATCATAGTATTTGTTTGCTGTAGTCTTGTCAGGATAACTTAAAAGCTCCCTGGCAACTGCAGTTTCTTGTTTTATCCCATCTTTCCTTAAATTTCTCATGGGAATGTTCTTTAATTAGGTCTGTTCTTGATGATTTTGTCAGGCCAATTGTCAGGTCCAAAAAGTATTGGTTGGCTGCTTTCTTGACCAGTGAATCAGCAAGACGGTTACCTTTTGATGTGGCGTGACCTTTTGCTTATCTTAAGGTGATCACATTGTTGATGGATACTTCGGCCAAAGCTTCGTGAGTACTAACCCTGAGTAAATTCGTGGTAGGTCCAGAGTGAGTAGTGCTTGTCTTCTATCTGTTTACATGAGCATGTTCCTTCCAGTGTCATTGTTTCTGGTGTCACTGTTTCTGTTGCTAAAAGAATACCCGTTAGCTCTGTTTGAACTACTCTGGCACTATTGCTCACAGCCCATTTCATGTTTATGTTTAAGGATCTAGAGTATATTCCACATCCTGAGTCTCGTTTTGTTACAGAACCGTCGGCTAATTGTTGCCAGGTTTAACATCTCGTTTTTTGTATATTAACCTATACGCTGATGCAAAAAAATGCCTTTAATATTATTTTAGGTTCAGAAAAACCGCGCTTTATCCCGAATTTCATTGAAAATTAAAACATACCGTCATGTGGCCGGAATCCCTACACTGGGAATAGCAAAAGCGGATGATACAAAAATCTATCGATGCGCAATTTTTTTTTAATTTTACAGGTCACATGACTGCTTCCACCGCCAGGATATAGTGCAATTTGTTCAACCCTCTCCCCCCTTTAGTGTTTTTTATTCTTACTAAATAATTTGAATTACAATTAATCTTATATGGGATTCTGATAGTTACTGAACGTTGTAGAAAGAAGTACTAGTGTCTCCAAATAGTAGTTATGGCCCTGGTAAAGCTCCTAAGCCATTGAGAAGAAGAAATGGAACTCAGCAACTGATTTAAGATTTAAATATTATCGCATTAGCGACCAAAAAAGTAAATTACACGTTCTAATTTACAGAAATGCCCGACATTCTTCGCATAAGTGTTTTCGAGTGTTTCGAAGCCCCTACACTCTAAATTTCCCGCTTTTCTCACGATTATAGCGGAATTTATAGCTAACGTTAATACCATTAGTTTTACAAAACCGTAATCGTACCCGTTTAATGCTAGTTTCAGCCGTTAGCTTCTCCGACGGAATCTAAAACTTAATAAAATATTCTCGACTGGTTTGTAAACTTTTATTGCCCAACCATTTGCAGTTTTCTATTGTTGAGCGGAATAACTGGAGAGCTATCGTCTCGTCGGTGGAAATTAAAAGCAACAAGAATGTCTACAGGGAATAATGTTGATATTAAAACGAACTGATAAGAATATATATTCTATATATTATCACATACCTACATTTTCCAACGAATTTCTTTATTGTTAAAATAATTTTGACTTCCTAATATAATGAGCGTTTGTTTTGTTCCAGGGGTTCTAATCCAGTAAGGATAACGGCACCTCCAGAATTGGCTGGAATGACGTTAGAATCGAGGTTAGTGTCATACGATTGGGACAACCAGTTCCAAAGTTTTCAAGATGCGACAATGAAGGGATCTTTTAAACCTTTGTGTTGGACTTCCCAATCGACCTTGTTGCCGGTGAGTATTTCTTTTTTAATTTTTATTCAAAATAGTTTGATAAATATAAGGAATCCTTATTAAATATTATATGAGTTCCGTAGATATGGGACTCTATTCTAGAGTGACAAAAAACTGTTTCCAGTAGGTGATTTTAAAAAATCATAAAAAAATGGTTAAAAATTTCTTAAAGGATATCACATTATTTTGTCCAATATTGGTTTATTAAAGTGCAATATTTATTCATTAAAAAAAAAGCAGTTTTTCTTGATCTGTTTTACTGTTTTGCACAACAAATTTTTTGAAATAATAAATAATTTGTGATGCACCAGGACTTTTTTATAAAGTATATTTGGACGGTGTTATGCAAAAATCGTCTATTCCACAAATGACCAGTTTTTAGATAAACAGGCTTAAAGTTTACTATGAGCTAAAAAGAGATTTGCAAGAAAAATCTGATTTATTTTAGGGACCACAAGAAAATGTAAGAAAATAGCCATTAAAAACGGCTTAGGTAATTTGATTGGAATTATAAACAAGTCACATTAGGCAAAAATAATAAGGAAATACGGAAGAACTTGTTTTCTTACAAACTAATTTACTGGTAATTTCGCAATCCTTGCAATCATCGGTAACATTGAAAATGGTAATTAGCTTCTTTTTAATAGTCTTACAACTAACATTTCTATACAGGTTGTTATAGAAGAGAGTAAAACATTTAAAATGGTAGCAGTATAAACAAACATAAATAAAAAAGTCTTAATAAACATGGGCCCGTAAAGTAACGGTTTGAGAAATATGGTAAGTTTTTTTTTGAAACATTTAAATGTAATTATTTATTACTTACGGGAGAGGGGGGTAAAATGATCCCCCTAAGAAAGAAACTCCTTAAAAATATTTTTTAAATTTCATTTTAAAAGAATAAGTCCCTAAAAGAGTAATTTGTCTTAACAAAACACCACTTTAAAAAATATCTTCATTCACTTCTTAAAAATATACAAAATAAAAAAAAATAGCAAAGGGATTATTTTACCCGCATGCTAGGGGTAAAACGATCCCTTCTACAAATAACTTAAAAATTATAATTTGCATATATAGTATCAAGAAAAAATGTCTTTAAAACCTAATATTTCTCTGAACTCTGGCTAACGCAAAGGTAACATCGGAACAATGTTCACAGATGAATTAATATTCGTCTTCTACCCCTGCACACAATTCGTGAGCCCATTCAAAACACTTTCTGCATTGAATCCATCCGTCAATTGAAGTAAAATATTCCTCGCAGCAGTAGAGACAGGATGCATTTCTCTGGTTGTCTTCTGATTTCGAAGAGTCGGAAAGAGTGTTTTTTATATTCTTTTGTTGTTTTGGTTTCTTCTGTTTGAGTGTCTTCTTATTATTTCCATTTTTCGTTTTTATTGTCTTTCCTTTTGCTTCTTTCTTGTTGATGTCCTCTTCAAGAGCAAGATTTTCTTTTTGTTGCGTTTCTCTTGCCTTTAGTTTTAGGAAAAGGTTGACATTCTTGTGGTGTAACTATAAAAGATGAATTTATATTTTCATCTCGTTTTGAGCTGGGCCCAGGCTCAGGATTCGTGTACAGATCGTTTGTTTCGCTAGAACCATTATCTGCTTTGTTGATTATGTCTGTCGATAAATCAGCTACGTTACATGAACTGGATCCTTGAGCCATATCCTCAGCTTTATCAAGGTCACTAGGTAATTGGTCGGTTACTTTAGCTGCTAAGAAGTCTACATCTGAAAAACCTCTCGGTCAAATGAAAATATGCCAGTTTTGCGGAACCCGTTTATTCCATTTGTTGGTATATAAGCCTTTATGTAGCCTTCGAAAAATATTTGGCTAATTTGAAACACTGTCACGGTTCTACCAGGATGATGGTTCAACCATTTTTCTAATGCTTGGTCTAAATAAACGCTAAGTGGACCCATAACAGCAACGTTCAACGGCTGCAGCTTGTGCGTACAGTGGGGAGGTATACACAAGATGGTTACAAAGTTTTCTCTGGCACTTAAAGTAACATCGAAATTTCTTGTGTGTGATAAATATCCATTTAATATAAGTAACGCGGGCTCATAAATATTTGGCTTTACAAAAGATATGAAATGAACAAACCACTGCTTAAAAACTTTTGTGCACATCCAACCACTTTCATTACAAGCAAAAATGGTACCTGGAGGAGCTCCGTCTGTTAGTTCGGCCTTCATTCGCTTCCTGCTGAAAATAAGCATTGGGAGGACAACATTTCCTGCAGCTGATATACAAACTACCGCTGTTGTCGAAAGTCCGCGCTCCGCTGATGTTACCCTTGCAACTTGTTTGGAATCTTTTTTTGCTAATATTTTTTAATTTCGCCCGGGCACAGTAGAAATTGAAGTCTCGTCTACGTTAAAAATTCGGTGAGGGGCATAATTATTTTTTGCATAAATCTCTCAACAGATTATAGAACTTTGTCACAACTGATTGTTGAAGGCTCTCGCTCTAGCAGCTGAAGTCGATTCAGAACACCTCAAAGAAATCTCTGGATGTCTTCTTCTAAAACTGTTCAACCAATCTTTACCAGCAGTCTTTTTGACATGGGAAAACTTGTGGGGAAGTTTGTTTTTTTCAGCAAGTCGCAAATCACGCAAGGTCAGTTCATACATCCTACTTTTAAAAACTAGGATATGCTTTACTAGTTCTTGCTCTTGTTCTGGCGAAAATACAGGGTGGCAGCTACCAGCTTGATGGTGGGTGAGGTTTTCCGGGTTTTACTCACCTGTAAGTCAAATGGCACCATCAATCATCTTTAAATCGCCCCGAAGCGCCACCGCAAAAAATAATAATAGCCGTCCATTTCCCCGCACAAGCTCAGCTTTTGGGGTTAAAATTCACTCGTAAGGGGGTGAATTAGGGAGAGTATTTTTTTTTGGTGTGTCATCGGCTTCAACTGCTAATGTTATTTCGCCTCGTGTTCTGTGTAGGCTCTGGTACTGTTTCCCAGCGCCACTTTAGGAACAGCACTGTTAATTAGAACCCAACAACGAATGGTCGAGTGGGGAATCCTACCAAGGCATCAGAAGAATTAATTTTAAATAATTAAATTAAATGAAAAAATCCCGGCCAACGGTGGGATTCGAACCTGAGACCTTCCGATCTCAAATAGGGAGAGTATTATTATTAATATTATTATTATTATTATTATTAAGTGACTTCTTCTCTAGCTTCGCTACCTTATTTTTATCCATTACACGCCGCTTGAGCGACATTCTTGGCACCTTGAAGATTCGCGCAGCGGTTTTCACAGGCATTCCTCGCTTAACTTCTTCTATGGCATTTTTCATATGCTTAGCATCCCAATTTCGTCTGTTGATTATTCGCTTATATTATGTTCGTGGCATTCTGTAAGAGAGACGTAAAATAAATTTAAAAATCAAAATAACGATTTAAAACATTTTTGCAGGGTTTAAATGAAGGGATCAAAATCTAACACCTGACTTTCCTGTCTAGTTATGATAGGCTTTTGTCAGTTACTTTGAACAACCTGTTGTATCAACCCTGTTTAGAGGATGACCTAAATACATATATTTTCCACACGCATCTTTGAGCATTTTTCTATATATTCATTGCCAACGAAAATACTGAAAACTTAAAATTTAAACTTGTCCTCAAATTGTAGAGAAATAATCTACAGCACAAAAGTTATAGAAATATCACAAACAAGTTTTATTTAAAGAATTTTGTTCTATAATCGTGAATAACAGAGATAATCCTTAAAGTAGAAAACGGTACCCTATAAAGTACCCACACCCCCAGATTGCTTCGACTATGCTCAAAATTTATAATCTCCCCGCAGGTTGGTAGTATTCTTTTTATCGGTTTTTGAGTTTTCAAAATTCAAAATTTGCACATATCTCGAATACAGTCCATTTTTGTGAAATCATGTATAGAACAAGAATTATAGAAAATTACATCGCAAGCAACTTTTGTTTAAACTTTTTTCTTAAAAATTCGAATGTTGAAGTGTTTGTCAAATTCCTTGAATACGGACCATTTTGTGAAATTTATTTATAGGACAAAAAATAGAAAATACCATTATCAACTTTTATCAGAAGAATTTTCTGTTCTAAACGTAAATAACAAATATATTCAGTAAAGTAGAAAAACGACCCCCAAAAAGTACCCCCAGATGTTCTGACTATGCCCAAACTAATCAACTCGCCGCAGGATAAACTTAAACTTAAGTTTAAAATTTGGTGTTTTTTGTTTATTTGCTCTTGAGTTATCGGATATACAGAGACACAGACACACACACACACACACACACACACCGACTCACACACAGTCACACACACAGTCACACACACACAGATTCACACATCGACTTACACACAGACTCACACACAGAATCATCGCGAAAATAGTCAAAACAAATTCAGGGGATCCCAAAACTTAAAAATCCGGCGTCGAAAAAAATCATGTCCTATACTTTTGTTATCTGTTTAGAGGAAAGTAAAAAAGATAAAAAAAGAAAACCCTTCAATATCTCCAAAATCGTTACTTTGCAAACAAATCATGTATATCTATGGAAAAAAACGTTTAAGTCAATTTTTAGAAATTTAAATTCCAAATTTATTATTGCAAAATAATTAAAAGTTGAAATAGAATTGAAAGGAATAGAGTTTTATTGAAAAGAAGAATTATAGTCTACAAAATAAGAGCACCGATCGCTCTAGCGATTGTTCCTGCTTCCGTGAAATGAGCTTTTCTGCAGACCTGCTAAACACTCCTCTGTTATTTGTTACTAAATCGCGACAAGCGCATTTTTTGTTAAAAAAAAAAATCGTAACTTTAATTTTTTTTGTAATATTATCTCCCAAGATCTTGTCAAATACACGTACTATTAAAAATTTGACACGTGCTTACCAGATTAGAATTTAGAAATGTTGAGTCCTTACAAATTAGTACCTGCAGACTTTTGTTTAGAAGCCAATTTCTGCAACGTCGTTCATTTTAGTTTCTTATT